TTATGTGAAAACAATTTGAACTAGGTTTTCTTGAAAAATTGTCACAAGTGAACAATGTATATCTTTTTTTTTTCTTTGTCCTCAACTTAGATATCTGTATTGGTTCCATTAAACTTTGTTATCTGTGTCATTTTAGATGCTAACAATTTTAAGATGAATGATAAAAAAAAAAATCAGCATAACACTTTTCTGAATGGTTTGCATGTTGTGTAAGATTTGCTTCTATTATATCTTTGCAATTGCCCTTTTCAGTGTATTGTGGAGGCTTCTGAAAATCAGTGGTGATTTCACTATTTTAATTAAAAAACTTATTTCCTTCAGAATCCAATAACCAGCATGATTTTAATAATTGCCTGTGGGAGACTTATTAAAGACCCCTGGAAAAACTGTGCTCCATTGCCTTTTCATTTTCCTTCAGCTTTTTAAGATACTCTGTGTTGATTAGCTTTATTTTACTGGGGTAAACATTTGGATTATACTGAGGCTTTTAATGAACTCTGAATGTAGTGAATCAAATTCTCAGCTGTCTGAGGAGTGCAGGGCACAAATGTATATATGTTAAGACACTTAAAGGGAAGCTCACATTTTGTATTTTATACTCTTTCAGTTCTAGGGCCACGATGTGCATATAATGGGCCTCAAAGCATAAATTACATCAGTTGAGGATGGGTGCAATTTAGGGACCACACCACCTTTCTGCTAGCTGTAGGAGGGCTATTGTAAAAGTCAACACAATTGGTTGTACAGCGCCATTGGATTCCTCCCTTAGCATTGCATCCAACCCCAGGAGAATTCCTCAAGCCATGTGCCCATGCACATTATAATATTTAAGGCTCAATTGTTTTGCTTTGTAAAGGAGACTGAAGACCCATTATTTAATTATGATCTTTATAATCCTAGGGTATCTATTGAATATTGGTTTATAGGAAAGAACGGGGCCATTAGCTCTTTCTGCTACTTCTCCCATAAGCCCGTGCTCCAGAGAAGTGAAATACATGCAGAAAGTTATTGTTTTGTTTCAGGTAGTTTGTCTCCTAGTTGAGTGTGAAGTGGGGCCTCCTGTGGTTACTGACTGCATGCAAATACAGGGGACTAGGCCCAGGAGGCACCTTATAGTCCTAGGTTCTTATGTTTAGCTGTTTCCATGAATATTGGTACAGCTACCATGCACTAAAAGTTATACTAACAAAATGATAGCCTCAACAACCATTTACAGACCACGTCAAGGATTGCTGTCAAACTGGTTTCTTTTAGTTTTAGTTTTTAATTTAATTTTAGTTCTTAACTAGGGCCCCAGTCTTCCAAAATGTTCCATGGGTGGCTTTGCCTGTTTAGATATGCACTGAAATTAGAAGGGCTCTGTGTGATGCAGAGGTCTTTCTGAATGCAACTGCTTGTAGGAGCAGGACTTTGGTTGTTGCAAGGACCATGGTAGATGTTAAGAGGCTGATCAACTTTTAGAGGAAAAATGTACTTGTCTATCAGGATCTATATACTGGTCTCACCTGCTCCTCCTATGGCACACTGCATGTAGTTTTTGATATGAGGTTCTTTGTTATGGTGGTGAATACAAGGACCAAAAGATGGGATGGAATAGATAGTCTCGACAAACATTTATTATTTGGTTGCCAAAGACTGCAAGGAAATCGACTCGGGAACATAACTTCCAGGTTATCTGCTAAGGGGCATATATTCCTTTCCTTCTGTTTTTAACAGCAAGAAATGAATGTCTCTGAAGAAAATTTATAAGGATGATATTGATGTGCTTGAGTTTGTCCTACTATTACATTTGGAGAAGGCTTGCCTGCTTTTCAAATTGAAATGGAGTCAATTTACAAAAAAATGAGTTAAATTAGTTTCAGATAGTATACCTGCTCTGAGTGTCTGGACCAATGTTTTTGTCTTTTTTTTCTTTTCTTATGGTATGAAATATCCCACACAGGGAAACAACGGGACTATTCACAAAGTTAAATTGCCTGAAAAATCAGAAGGCAGGACATCTCTTAATTTTTTTTTGTTTAGTGATTTTAAATGTTTCTATTTTACTGTCTGTTGTCTGCCCTGCTATTCCGGTGATGTTTGCTTGTCTTGTTTCAGTCTGGTTATAAACTGTTTAGAGTAAGCACTGGTGTTTTCCTATCCATCTACAGTCCTAGAATAGTGAGAGCCCAATCTTGGCTCAGTGCTTGGGGTCTTACTCTAAACTAAATATGAATCAATAATTCTAACTATAGATCATTTAAAAAAAACACACACTAAGGCATGATTTTTTTCAAGTTGATGATGTCTCTGTAAATACTGCATCACCCTATCACAGCCCAGCAGAACTGACAGCATTTCTCCTACTTACCCTGTGGCCTCACAACTTGTTAAGCACCCAAAATGGATGCTGGTGATCTCAAAGTTCCTGTCTTATGATGCCTCCTCTCTCTCTCAGGACCAGAATCTGCCACTTTTTGCTTTCATTGAGGAATATGTCATACTCAACCTGCATGTGCACAATTTGAGCCATGTAATTGTGTGTATGGGTATGTACATGATATGTGTATATATACAATGTAAAGGTATGTGTGCATGTGTTTAGATGTAATAGTGTGTGTGTGTGCGCGTGTGTGTGTGTGTGGAGTGGTTAAGGTATCTCACTAACAGCTCCCAAAACAAATCCGTGCCACTGGAGGCTGAGGGAGGGTTAGGATTTGGTAAGTGGTGCAAGGGCTGATAAGACTCAAACTTCCTCCTGGGACTGTGAAGGAGGATCTTAGAGGTGTCCCCTAAAGCTTTAGTTTGAGTCTTGATCTAGATTTGGTCTATTTGGGCTGGGGAGTCGAAAAAGGCAGATGCAGTGCTAACTCATGTGCTGTGGGCCAGGGAAGCTGGCACGCTTGCCTACATTAACCCATAGGCCATTGCATCTTTTGTGACTGAAGGTCACAAAATACCTGGCTACTGCACAAGAAGGAAAAATACCCCAAGGTGGGAACGCTGCTAATCCCCACCCCCCAAATGTCAAGCAGATGTAAAAAGAGGAGAAAACAGGAAGCGGAGGCCAACCATGTTCTTCAGAAAACAACGCTGAAGTGTGGCCCAGGTGGGTTTGTGAACCCCCAGTACATTTTTGAACGCTGGGGCAACAGACAAAGCAGATCCTCGACCTTGCCAAGGCCGCGGGGCCCGGGGCTAAGCCCGGGCCCCCGCACGCCACGGACTCCGCTCTCAGCTGCTTCCCCGGCGCGTGGAGGCGAAGCGAGCCGGGCTGTCAGTGTCTCTCTCCTCCCTCTGGAGGGAGACACAGGCCAGGTTTTGGCTGCGGGCTGCAGCGGCGCCCTGTGCAGCCGCCACCCGGCGCCAGGCTCTTCCTCTCCCCTCAGCAGCAGCAGCAGCAGCAGCAGCGCGCAGCTGACTCTCCCGCGGCCGCGGGCGCAGGGGCAGCCCCGCCTGCCTTCACTCCCCCCGGCTCCCCACAGCTCAGCCGGGAGCCCCGGGCCGCTCAGCCTGAAGGGACTCGCCGGTCCCAGTACAGCCGGGGTGCGGGGAGTCTCCCCCGTGCCCCCATGCGAGGAGCTGTGAGGGGGAGCGCTCCTCCGCCTCCCCCCCTTGTCCGACGGGCTTTGTGGTGCCCCGCTGGGGCGGGACTGAGCGGCCCCGCCACCTCTGCTGGGCGCTGCGACCCGCCGGTGCCGGAGCTGCCGCCGGCAGCGCGGGCTCCAGGGCACGTCTCCAAGGTAGCGTGTGCGGGGCCAGGCGGGGTCTTGATGAAACTCTGGCAGAAGGCCGCCTGGAAGGGCTCTAGCAGCCGCCCGGCCACGCTCCCTGCTCGCCGGAGCCGCGGGGCATCGCCGGGGCGGGAGAGCGCAGCCACGGGGCCGGCTTCTGCCGCCCCCAGGCGCCGGCCCGGCTTGATCTGACTTCAAGCCCCAGCGGCAGCCCTGCAAGGGAGTGAGATCCCGCCACGGCCGCGGGGCCGGCCGGCCGGCGACCCGGAGGAGCCCGGGCGGATGGACTGACTGATCGATTTGGTTCCCGCAGGTGGATCGCGCCCTCTCCCACTACTTTTTCCTTCCCCTGGAGGGAGAAGGAAAAGGAGTGAAGCAAAGGTGGGGGGGAGGGGGGGAAGGCTTGTTGTGTATTCAAAGCAAACCAATCAGAGATGGAATAACAGAGGGGATTGCTGCAGGACGTGCCGCCGCCGCCGCCGCCGCCTCCCTCCTCTGCTCGGAAAGGCGGGATCGGGGCCGCACTGATCCGGCCGAGGGGCCAGAGGCGCGCCGGGCTGCTGGACTTCCCCGCCGCTCGGCCTCCAAACGCATCTTCCGATTACTTTTTCATCGGGCGCACGAAGCGGGCTCCAACTCCCTCTGCCCACCCCCCGCCGCCGGATCGCTGCTGGATTTCGAGATCCAGGCTGAAAGGAGAGGGG